GCCGACCCTCGCGACGATAAAATCCCACTCAACTTAGATTCACAATTAAAACTTAACGGAGTGTCATTATACAATTTAAATCCGGTTGAATAATTAGACAATTTGAAGTCAACTAAATTAATTGAATTGTTGCGACTTGAACTTTTTCAAACAGAATATAGGAACGGAAAGGTAATCTATACAAGCTTTTGCCAGTACTACGTGCGAGTGGAATTAAAAAAAAAAACAAAAGTAAGTGTTCTTCCAGATTATGTTCCACATCTATGGCAAATTCTATCGAGATCCGTTCAGTAGTTACAGACTCTAACAAACATTCATCCATCTAAACTAGCACTCTAAACATCTAAGCGCCAATATCCTAATGGTTTGGGATACGGACTACCGATCTTGCTGTCGAGGTTTCGAAATCCGCCATTCGACTATTGTCGTGAACCATATCCTAGCACAAGCCTAGAGCTTAGTAAATTAACAAAAATCTACTAATATTTTATAAAAAAAAAAAAAACAAACCTCATACAAAAACAAATTAAATTTAAAATTGTTGTGTGAATGTATTTTACGTGTTTCGGTAATGAAAACGCGTCTATCACGTAACGTGTTACTAGACGTGCTATAAAATTAACACCCGTCTACTCGTATGTCACGTTCACAACATTTTAAAAGTTGTTAAAACGAACACAATTTTTAGAACGTGACTTCGCATAACTGATGTCATTTAACAAGAATTTATGCAGTAACTATACACATTTTATTTGTTCAATTTCAGTATTATCTAATACTAGCTGTTACTCGCGACTTCGCTTGCGTGAAAATAAAAAATATAATCTATGTTACTCACTGATAACGTAGCTACATAATGATAAAAGAATTTTTAAAATCACCCCAGTATTTTTTAGCTGTGTCAATACATACAAAAATACAATTCTTTTATCTTTATAATATTAGTATAAATAGCAAAAGTATAAATATACAAAGTTAAGTAACTCAGTTGTTTGAGCTTAGGTTTCGTAATTTTACGACAGACATATTTAGAGTGTCAATTTGGGTAAAGTTTTTTTGGGGAAAACACAAATATAACTAATATTATATAATAAATGCGAATGCATAGATGGATGTTGGTTATAGTTTGTAGCCTAAACTACTAAACGTATCCCGACGATATATGTCATAGATGTAGAGGATAGTCTGGAGGAATAGATAGGCTACTCACTTTTCTTTTTTTTAATCTCCACGCTGACGGATTCACAGGCGAAAGCTGGTTAACAACCACATGCTATATTAAAAAAAAAATCTTTCATACATCATATATTCTTTAGTTGTTAGTTTAGTTACTTTCTTTAGTTAGTAATATATTCTTTAGTATTAGTTGGATTGTCCATATATTAAACAGAATTTCCCGGAGATATCCGGCAAAGATCCGTTTCAATTTGAAAACGACGTTAATAGCTTAGAGAGACGGAAATGAAAGTTAAAGCTATTAAGATAACGCTTACTTAAATGTCTTATTTGTAACTTTAATTAAGTTAAGGAAATAGTTCATTTAAGTGATAGATTTTAGATTATTTATGTACTTCTGTTTACTGAATAGTTGCGACAATGTTGAAATACTCGTATTTACCAAAAGTACAACATATTTACATATATATCGTTTATTACATACATATAAATTTACTTTATTTATATATATAACGTAATCAAAGTAAAAACATAAAAGACTGAACAGAAAGCGTATTTAATCTAATTTGGTAACCATTTGAAAGTAACAAAGCTCGTAGTTCCTTTTGTTGCTTTGTAATTTTGACATTAAAGGAACATTGAAAGAATTATTTTGAGGTATTTACAATCGGGGAAACTGTCGGTGTCCTCCATTAAAGGCTACAATTGTTTGAACATTTTGAAAGACGCGCAACAAAAGCGAATACAACACTTATAAATGTGTCTGAACGAAAACAAATGATTAGTGATACAAGGCTAGTATATTTTCAAATACAAATCTTTTCTCTTTATAATGTTAGTATAGATAATCCTAATCAAATAAGACTCATTACACATTACACATTACACATTACACATTACACATTACACATTACACATTACACATTACACATTACACATTACACATTACACATTACACATTACTCATTACACATTACACATTACACAGTATACATTACACATTACACATTACACATTACACATTACTCATTACACATTACACATTACAAATTTCACATTACACAATATAAATTACACATTACACATTACACAATAAACAATACACATTACAAATTACATATTACACATTACACATATAGCTCTCGTTTCTTCTTCATTTTTTCTAAGTATCACATATCTATTTATTTTTAAGTTTGTTATTGCTAGATTCTGTGGAGCGGGGGCCTGGTGATCCATTACACAGGGCGCCACCCTATTTTGGAAAAGTCCAATGCCCAAATTTACAAAACGATTTTTTATTATTATTATTATTCCTTCGTTTGCACTCACTGCTATCTTATTAGTTATTTGTAAGAGCCAGAGTTTGTCGTTGCAATAAACAAGGCAATATTTCTAAAGGAACACTGCAGATTTCCGCGTCTGTACATACATGTACATAAATGTTTTGTTTTTGTATATAAACTATTACTAAGTACACATTCTAGGCTATCATGTTAACGAATAAGGAAGACATTGGAAAATGCTTGTGTTTAGGAGTAGGCAGACAAAGACAAAGGTTGATGATGATTTTCTTAAAGAAGAAGTTGTTGACCAAGTTTTAACGCAAAGCCGCAGTATATCAATAATATGAGTCGAAAAAACAATGCTATCAAAAATTCAGTGTAAAAATCTTTCCGAGAAGGATATTAAAAAACGATACGTATTGTTCCAGCAAAATATAAAATGTACAGGAAATGAGAATTGTCACAGGTAAAGATTTATAGATGTATTATTTATTTACTCCCTGAGTTGCGAGTATTTTGTAATAAAATTTAGTAGACGTGCGTGCGAACACATGAAACTAAACTATCGCACAACTGTTTGGTAACTTTGATTCCTATGAGATTATTTGGAGGTGCACTACTCGATTTTTATTTGTACAACTAAACAGTTGAATTGGCTGCGAAACAATCGACAATCGCACAACAAACGAGCTCTGTTTTTATAAAAAGAATAAAATAGTTCGGTTCTAATTTCATTCAAAAAATTGAAATTGGAACCTTATAACGAAAATTTTAGAAAAAAAAAAGTATTGCATCATACCAGTATGTTGTCTATTACTTCATAGCAATATCGAATTAAGTCTATGTTCTTATGAGTAGCCTGTAATATAAAAAACTACTGATTAAAAAGAACCTCACCATATGATTACCTAGTAGTAGTAATCTACTTCCTAGTAGTAGTTGACAATGTGCTCACAAAGAGCAATTTGGATGTCGCACAAACTGCGTATTCTCGTCACGTCCTACTTTTTGAACAACGCACTGCGAAATTCCGATAGGAAATGAACCGGTAATTTCCTGATTAATTTTAAAGCCAACGCATTTACCCGTTAAATGTGTTTTGGTGCAGGTTTACACTGTCAAAGCAAATATTTAATAAGATTGTGAAAACAACCTTTACAACAATAATTTTGTATACATAGGTACTTAGGCGAGGGATACCCACGGAATAAGTTCTTTTTGCTATTTTTTTTCAGAACTAGTTGCTAGGGACTTTGCCCCTGTGTAATTAAAAAATATAGCTTTTCTTACTCACAGATAAATTACCTTTATAATGGTGAAAGAATTTTTGAAATCGGCCCAGTAGTATTTAAGTTATCAATACATGCAAAAATCTAAAAATAAAAATCTTTCCTCTTTATAATATTAATATAGAATAGATTATGCAAGGTTTACAAAAAACCTTTGATGTATTCCAGTTAGATATACAATATCCTGTTGTAATCCAGCGCTGGATTCAATCACTGTACTGGCATAATGTAAACCGGCATTACATTTGATCTGTCTAATTTCTTTAACATGTTAATATTAAAGGGAAACGAAACTATAACATTAAATGAGCCAACTAAATTATTTACCTTAATATGTTAGTTTCCATAAAATTTAACGCAAGAACAAATATCCACGCTATCTGTACGTTAGTACGCATTTAAATAGCCTCATAACGAAGGCTGTTGCGCCGCCTTAATGGCCCTACTACGATATAACAGCAAACATTCCCGCTAAATGCTCTATATTTTGCCATAATAGAGTCTTGTACGAACTATTGTTACATATTTGAACACATCTGTTAATGTTTTTTTGCTGAATATATGTTTAGGAATATTATAGACTTTTCTAGAAACACCTATAGTTAAAAAATATTTTTATGTGGTTATGTGTGAATTAATGCATGCAAGACTCGCTAGATGGCGCTGTATTAAACATTTTTAGAGCACTAATGTGTTGTCTATGGTTTTAACGTACAGAGCCGCAAAGTTATCTAATCCGGTGCGCTTGTTTCCGTAGCACACTAGCGCACCCTGTCAATGTCAAAAAAACTGTCACAAGGTCCTTTCCGGACTGTAGCTGTCATGTTCATTTTTAAATAATTTTCAATGCCCATGTAGGTTTTGTATATTTTCTGACACTAATGAAGACAATTGTAGCGTCTCTCTTAACGAGCCATAAAATCTTTGTTGGACTATAGAATCAGACATTGTTAATCAAAATGTAATATCGATAAAACAATACAATATATGTGACATCGATTTTCCGTACACTCTTAATTGATTTCAAGAATCGATACCGAATTACACTGTCAAAAAAAATATTAACGATCCTTAAACATTACGTGTAGTTAATAAAATAAGTTTTAGTATTTTAACACAACAATTTAACTATAAAGTAAATAAATATTTAATGAAACGGAAATCTTACGTACAACGGAGTTTTATGTCGAATTATTCAGAGCTGCCATAATGACAACACAAGGTTGACATTGTCATCTGTCATCCCGCCAAATATCGCTTCCGTTTTGTTGCAACGCGTGTCGGCGCCATTTGCTTCTCTCTGTCTCTTGTCTATAATTTGGAATAGATCAGCTTTATGGCCAAGGTCCGTAGATAATTTTTCTCTTTGGATTCCCACTTTATTGTTCTCTCTGATTACTTACAAGCAAGTGTCAAAACAATGTGTGAATTACAACAATTTATTTATATTTCAGGTTTATTGGATTGGTTAATTATGTATGAAGTGTTCTAAAATGGAAGCTTGGGCAAATTTGTGTCGTTGCTGCCTGTCTCCCAATTCCGGCGTGCCATTGATAGATTCTGCACAAAACGCAAATAACAAGTTTCTAGAAGTCACATCCCTAGAGGTAAGCAATTTTTGTACTTTATTAAAATCTTATTAAATAAAGACATTTCTAGGCCAAGACTTATAAATATTGAAAATGTTTGTAACAAACACTATAATTTTCTAAATAAATTTTAAGATCATGTATAACAAGGCCGTCTTAGTGATGGTTTTATTCCTTTTATTACAATTTCTTATGCAAATTACTACAAAAGTATGTATACACTTACATATAGAATGACTAACAATCTAGTAAAATCTGATACAAGAATTATTTTTTTAAAATTATACATTAAGTATAATAACTTAAGTTAGATTGTAATTAGTGATTACTTACTCTTGTTGAACTCATTTTCTGTACTAACATATTAAAATAATCACCATATTGTAAATGAGAGATTTTACACAAAATGCATTCTAAAAAAGCAGATGCATTGCCTACCCTTATCCAACAGAGGAGGAGATACACATAGAGGATATTTCCCGTTCCTATGTATCAGCTCCTCTGTCAAATCCACTTCCCCTTCCCATCTTATAAGAAAAGGGTGGTAAAGAGAAAGTTGAAGTTTGGAAGCAAATTATTATGTTTTTTAATTACTAGCTATTTAAATTTAATATTTAAAACTACAAAATACAAAAATGAGTTAATAATAGGTATTTTCAATAAATTCCAGGTTAAACAAGACGATGGGCTACCACAGAAACTCTGCGAGGATTGCTACTCCATTTTAAACTCTGCATATCATTTCCGTAAACAATGTTTGAAGATGGACAAAGAGTTACGATACCAACTAGATTTGCTGAAGGCAGAGGAAGAAGGAGTAAGACATAAAAAGAAGAAGAAAAAGAGTGCAGTTGACGTTGATGATGAAACCCTGAAACAATTGGAGGGTATTATTAAATCGGAACCAATAGATGTTGATGATGATGACTATTATTACGTATTAGTAATAGATGAAGAGAAGAAGAAATCTCAAGAGAATCAAGATGTAGCAGATAAAATAAAAATAGAACTAGTGAATGAAACAGAAAATGAAGTGAATGAACAAACTGAAAGCCAAGACAGTCACTTCGATGAGTCTTTTGATACATTTTTGTTAAGTAACTCAAAAGTATCTGATAAAGTTCCCGCAACTATATTAGAGAATGAAGAAATCCAAGAGAATGAATACGAAAGTATGGATGTTGAAACTGAAAATGCAACAGAGATGATACCGCATTTAATACAAACTCAAGACGAAATCGATTCAAATGAGGATTCACAAACTATTATGGAACAGATATCAAGTAATACGAATATTATAAAAATTCTAACCAATTCGGGAAATGAAAGAACATTGATGGTTAAAAATGATAATGTGAAATATTCATCAGATCAACAGTATATTACGATTGAAGGTGATGAAGTTACATCACAGGAGGAGGTGATACTGTGTGAAGGTGATGATGCCACGCAGTACAAGTTCCTGAACTGTGACAGTAACAGTATGGTGATAGAGTATGATGAGGACAGTGAGTTCACAACGGTGATGCAACAAGAAGATGGGACATTTATATGTGAATGCGGTGAACATTTTCAAGATTTGATCGAATATCAGAAACATCAACACCAACACAATCCCGGTGGTGAACATTTATGTAATCTATGTGGGAAAGGATTTGAGACATCGGAGATTTTAGTTGGGCATATGTTATTACACAGTGTGACTGGCCCTTTAGTGACATGTCCGTTTTGTAAGCAATTAATTCGTCGCAACTCTTTGACGCAACATATTAAATATGTGCATAATAATAAACCTCGTTGCACGATTTGCTTCAAAACGTTCGCGAATCAACATAACCTCAAACGTCATATGATGATACACAACGATATAAGAGAATTTGAATGTGACATTTGTTTGAGAAGATTCCATCAGAAAATAACAATGCAAACACATAGGTTAAATCATTTGAACGCATTTTCATGTAATCAATGCGATATGACGTTTAAAAGTAAAGAAGCGTTAACAACGCATCGTGATTTCGACGAATGCAATAAAAGTAAAGTGATCCAAGCTAAGGAAGAATTAATGAAAACAGTCAAACAGGAAATCAAGACTAGTGTAGGCAAAGTTTTAGGATATGCTTGTTCGTTGTGCAAGAAAATGTTTTCTTTAGAGTCAGCATTAGAACAACATATAGAGAGTACTCATATAGTTGAGAGTAGTGAGTTTACTGAGGCACAGAAAATAATGCGGAATAAAAGTATAAAGAGATTTGAATGCAGTATTTGTGGTAAAAGTTGTGCGAGTCAAGCAATGCTGACAATGCACGAACGTGTTCATACAAATGAGAGGCCATTCCCTTGTCAATTATGTCCGTTGAGATTTAAAACTAAAACACATCTGCGGACACATCAATTGACACATACAAGGGAAAAGAAATTCGGATGTTCTGTGTGTATGAAATATTTCGCCTTAAAAGGTAATTTGGTTGTACATTTGCGCACACATACTGGAGAAAGGCCATACGTTTGTTCTATTTGTGGTGAAGGATTTATTGATTCGAAATATCTTAAGAAACATAAACTTAAGAAGCATTCGAATGACAGTGTTGCGTATATAGCCTAGTCTAGACCTTAATTTAGTGTCCAGATTTGTGTATATATTTGTGAAATTTCACTAGAAAACCTATGAGTATAACCACTTTTTTTTACAACATAATAACTGACAACCCTAACTCAAATCAAAAAAAAAAGATAGAAAAATCTCACTTTAGAGTTGTTCTTAAATAGAAAAAATTCAAAATACTTGAAGTGGGATGTGAATAAGAAAAATTGACTACTTCAATAGATCAATTAAAAGCCTCGCTAGATTTACTTGTGAAATTTCATTAAATAAGTCTTTTTAGGGAACTAAATGTGAATTAAATAAAATATTTGGGTTTTTGTATAATATATAGTGTTTAAAAATTCAATAGGCTTAAATGAAAATGTCCTTTTAATACTTTGACTCAAATTTTGTATGTTCTAAAATCTAGCAAATAGATTAAAAATTACTAAATTCGATACCAATAAGTTTTATGAATATGTTTCAAAAGGCCTACATTTTTGACCGACTTCCCAAAAGAAGGAGGTACTCACTTCGTTTGTATATTTTCGTTTTTTTTTGTGTGTTACGGTATAACTCCGCCACAAGTGGACCGATTTTTGTCAACAACGATTATGGAATCAAGTTAAATTTGTATCTTCATAATAATTAAAAATTAGCTTATTTTTTTTTAAGAACAACCTGAGAAGGTATTTTTATTTTAAAAAATCTTGTTTCCATTTGTCTATGGATTTTGATGTTCAGTAAAAAATAATATTACGTCCGTTTTACATATCTGTGTGTTTCAAATGTAAATGTTACGATTCTATTGTAAATTACAATTATGTTTATACTAAAGTATGAAGAACTAGTATTAATAAAATTTCAAACGAATATAGAGTTTTATTTCATCACCCCTGAAAAGCATCGAGTACGAGAAATTTTCTACACAGTGCTTAGTTTCGCCTTAGCATATTTCATGTTTTCATTCCTAAGGTACAGCTTTCTAAAACAAGTCACTTACTAGTACTAAAGTGGAACAACTGCCCGAAATAAAATAATTCGAAATATTGTACAAGATGTGTTAATTTTATAGATTCATATTCCACTCAAACTCCGTTTAATTTCAATTTTACATAAAAATTTGTTAAATTTAACTACATGATTATTAAATCCCTTTGAAATATTTACTACTAGACATATCGACCAGCGACGATATAGGATACTTTTTTCGCCCGTCACGCCGTCCGCGTGAAATTAAAAACAAAAGTAGTCTTTATGTTTCCTTCCAGATTGTTCTACAGCTGACAAATTTTATCTAGATCCTTTCAACAGTTTAGTTAACAAAAACAAACATCCATCTAAACTTTCAAGTTTCAAGAATTACAATAATAAGTCTAGACCTACGTCCTACCTAATGTTATAATTTGATAGATTATGGGGGACGGCGCGTACGCAGTCCCCACTACCAAAAATTACGCGTCCGAGTTATCCACATTAGGGATAATCGCAGGGGTCAACCCAACCGCAGTGCAATGGAGGGGCCTCGCCCTGGGGGAACCGCCTTCGTGATCACGGTAGCCCCTACGCCAGGTAAGTATGCTTTACAAATGTTGGCCCGATAGGGTCATTCCCGAAGAAAGGTTTTCAACATCGCGTATTAGTTAAATCAAGAATCGCACAGCGACATCTATTGCGCACAATAGTAATGACATTGCGAAATAAAAAGAAAAAATGTAGCATATTTGCTTTTGTTGAGAGGCATAACATACATTACGTATGTATTGTATTTATGTATATTTTTAGATAACATTAATGATTAGATAACAAGATTTATATTCATTTTATTGTTAATCAAAAACTTCTTTCATTTAACGTCTGCTTAGCACGTAAAGTAAAAGAAATCGTAACAGCGCCATCTGTGTGAATGTTCGTGTATTCTTTCGTTCACAGAGTAACACGTCCATTTGTGAAGAATGTAACATAGATCAATTACATTTTTTTGATTTAATTTAAAAAAAACAGTCCATTCAGTAAAATCGTGTTTTTTTTTTTCCTTTAAAATTTGGCAAGAAAATAACGCAAAGAATGAATGTGAAATGTAAAAGTTTAGTTTTAGCTACCGCATAATAGATGGCGTTGCAAAACACCTGATATACATTTTAATTTATCGTTTGTCTGTAATTTCACCTTCTTTTCTTAAAATTTAAAGACTGAAACACACGATAGTTCATCACATCATGAAATAATCTATTAAAAATTAAATTAAACAACTTTTTAATGTAACTTATTTAATCAAAGGTATTTTTTTCTAGATACATTTCTCTTAAATTTTGATTTAAAACCGGTGGCCGAACTTTAGCCCCTTATCCTTTCCATACTATTCTTATAAGAACGTGGATTTGATGCCGGAGGAGACACGTGGGAAAGGGATATCCTCTTTACGAGCATCTCCTCCTCCGTCGATTAATGGTAGGCAACGCATCTACTATTGCGGATGTCTATGGGCAGCATACCATTTTCATGGATTCAGGTGGCTGCTTGCTCGTTTGCCACCTTATAATTAAAAAAATATATTATTATCAATTTGAGCGTTACGAGTAGCACAGCATAGCCATAGTAGTGCGGTAGCGCGGTAGTGTAGTAGTACGATGTGTGCGGTAGCGGTAGTGTAGACTCCACACGCGACGCGGGCCGCGCCGCACCTCGCTGAATCATTGCCTAATGTACCTCGTCGACCCGATACATCTTGATACTTTTACCATTTTCTTTTTGTCTTAATTGTTCACGGCTTTATAAATACAGGATGTAGTAACATTTTGAAAATGAATTTTCTTATATGGAAAATACTAAATTTAGTAATATGTTTTTGTATTGGGATTACTAGTTATTACCGAAGGAAGGTAATTAAAAGTC